CAACAAAAATTGAATATTTTTGGTTTTTTTTTTTTTTGTTTTTTTTTTTTTTTTTTTTGTTTTTTGTTGTTTGTTCGTTTTTAAAATTTTGTTTTGCTTTCCATATATAGAATAATAATTTTGTGAATCGTGAAGTAAGAGAAGAAGTTAAGCATATAGAAATGAATGTGAAATTGTTGAAGCGTTGCAAGAACAAGCGAACGGTACAATTTGCAAAATTGAAGCTGATGGTTAGTGTTAAGTTGTGTGTGGTTTAACGGCACGCGTTAAGCTCTTTATTGATAGATTGTATTGATGAGTTGATTATGATATTGATGAATGTTCGTCTATTGCCATTGCAGCGCCAGTTTGATGAGAACGGCAACGCCCTGAACGATGGCTACGCCGCCGTCGCCGCAGCAGCGGCGGCAATCGCTGCTGCCGGTGGCAACGGCAACGGCAACGGCAACAGCAGCAGCACCACCACCAGCAGCAACAACAGTAACAGTAACAATAACGGCAGCGGCAGCGGCAGCAGCAACAGCAGCAACAACTCCGCCGCCAATCAGTTCACGGCCATGATTACCGCCAACAGCGGGGCTCAGCAGCAGCAGCAACAGCAACAGCAACAGCTGCAGCATCATCAGCAGCGCTCGAACAACGTGGACACGCTGTTGACAACTGGCGGTAACGCGATGACACCGGCCATGGCATTTGCAGCGGTTGCTGCCACCTACAACCAGATTCAGCAGATTGGCGGCTCGTCGCAGCCACCGACCAAGCTGAAGGCGAAGAAGAAGTCGCAGCAGGAGCGGAACACCACCACGGTGGATGTGGAGTCTGTGGCCGGGTATCGCGGCAAGGATCCGGTCGAGCAGCTGGTCAAATACATTGAGAACGACGGCGCCCAGCAGCAGCAGCAGCAGCAGCAGAAGAAGAAGGAGCGCAAGAAGCAGAACAAGCTCAAGAAATGTAATTCGCTCGAAGAGCTGCGCAGCTGTGCGAAGATGGAGGTCGACGAGCTGAAGCGCCAGTCGGCAACCACTGAGATGATGCGCAACAAGAAGGGCGGCAAGCACAATTCCGCTTCCGTGGCGGACATCAATAAGAACTGCAACAAGGAACAGCAGCAATCACAGCAGCAGCAACAGCCGCAGCAGCAGCAACAATCATCGCAGCAGTCGCAGCAGCAATCATCGGCGACACGCAAGGGCGAGCGTCGCTCCTGGGGTACCGAGGAGCTGCAGTATTTGGGCGAGCCTGCGTTGAACGATAGCAACAACAGCAGCGGCAACAACAGCAACTGCAATGAGCCAGCAGCAACAGCAGCTGCAGCAGCGGCAACAGCAGCAGCAGCAGCAGCAACATCATCCCAAATGTCGATGACGAGCGGCACAATGCCATCGCTGGAGCTGCCCTCATTGGCGCGCATGTCCGAGATGGAGGCGCTCAATACGGTGCTGACCGAGACGGCCGAGTTCCATGTGGTCACCAAAAAGAAGAAACCAAAGAAGCAGCGCGCCGTTACCATGGACGATGCGGCCGTTGCGGCAGCTGCCACAACCGGCGGCAACTTGCAGCGCATGCAACAGATTACAAAGTCCGCATCGTCCAATATGATGTCGCAGCGCTTGCGCGGCAGCAACATGGACTATTACAACAACAACAATAACAACAACAATTATTATGCTGGACATGCCAGCTACAACAACAGCAGCAACAAGCAGCAACAGCAGCAGCAACAGTTGCAGCAGCAGCAGCAGCAGCAACAACAACAGCACGCCACAACATCAGCAACAGCAACTGCAGCTGCAGCTGCAGCGACAACAGTTGTTGCTGGCACTCAAGATAATTCGCGTCGCAAGTCCACATCGTCCATGCCGCCATCGGAGAAATCTGATTCAAGTGATCTCGACTCGGTGCACTCGCTGCCCATACAAACTGGCAAGAAGAAGAGCAGCAACAATAAGCGTTCAGCCGCCGCACAGGCCAAACAAAACAACAATAACAATAACAACCATAACAATAACAATAAGAATCATAATAATCATGGAGCTGCTGCGCCCATCTCGTATGCGGACATCGCACGCAACAAGCGCGAACTGCTGGCCGCCAGCGAGGACAACGATGCCGGGCACGATGGCCCGGGCACTAACTCGGGCTCATCCCAGTTGCTGCTGGACAACAACAACGGCAGCAGCAGCAGCAGCACGAACAGCAGCAGCGGCAGCAGCAACAGCAAGCAGCGCGCCGCCAAGTCAAAGGCGCGTCCCGACTTCCCAGAGCTGCCCAGCGCCATGGCCGCCAATATAACAACAGCAACAGCAGCGGGCGCTGCAGCAGCAGCAGCAGCAGCAGCAACAGCAGCCGCCGCAACAGCCGCTGTGCTCGTCAGCTACTCGCAGAGCCTGAACAAATTGCCAGCGCAGAGCAACAGCGGCGAGACCGAGGAGAAGCAACAATTGCAGAGCTCGGCAGCAGCTGCGTCCACAGCAGCAACAACAGCAGCAGCAGCAGCAACATCATCAACCAATGCCACCTCGAATCAACAGCAGTCGGCGCTGCCAGCGCTGCAAAAGTCCAAGAGTGTCGAGCACGATGCCCGCAGCAACAGCAGCAGCAGCTACAACTTCAACAGCAGCAATCTGGACTTGCAGTATCCGGCGCTGGAGAAGACTGTGAAGCGGCACAGCGTCAACTATGTGTCGCTGCCTTCGGCCATCAGCAGCAACATTAACTTTGCCGCAGCTGCCAAACAGCAGCAGGAGAAGGAGAAAGAAAAGGAGAAGGAAAAGGAAAAGGAGAAGGAAAAGGAGAAGCTCAACCAAGATGTGACGACAGCAGCAACAGCAGTAGCAACAGTTGCTGCTGCTACAGCAACTACCTCAGCCAAGGCTAAGAGCAAGCCAAAGGAACTATCACCTGGCAGCAGCAACAGCAGCTGCAACAGCAACAGCAACAGCAACAGCAGCAGCAGCAGCAGCAGCAAGAAGGAGAAGAAGCCTAGTCAGGAGGAGCAATCAACGTCGACGATGACGACGTCGCCGCCCATTAGCTTTAACACATGCTGCCACAACAACAAGGCAACTGCTGCCACGCAGACGGAGGTGGCCAAGAGGCACAGCAGCTGCAACACTGTGGCCGCTGGCGTGCAGACAGCACTGCCGGCGGGCAATAGACCCGCTGTGATTATACTCAACGATGATCGCGACTCGGCGCTGGGCAGGCTCAACAACGAGTTCATCTTTGGCGACTTCAATGAGGACGAGCTGAAGCTGTTCGACGATGCCAGCGACAAGGAGGAGTCGGACGAGAAGCCCACTAAGCATCAGGTGGACAAGCAGCAGCAGACGACGCCGACAACAGCAACAGCAGCAACTGCAACAGATTCCAGCTGTGACCAACAGCAACAACAGCAGCAGCAGCAGCAACAGCAGCAACAGTTGCAGCTGCAGATGCTAAACGATTCGGGTGCCGCCTCCGATTTGGTCAATAGTTCGGCCTGCATGGATATGCTGCTGATCTCAGGGCAGGCGGCACAGTCGTCGCCCAATGCCGCAGCCGCCAACAACAGCTCATCGACTTCATCGACGCCATCCTCATCGGCCTCTTGCTCCACCTCCGCCTCCTCGTCGACGCTGAGCAGCACCAGCAACGGCAACGGCAGCGGCAGTGGCAGTAATGGCAACGGCGGCAGCGCCGCCTTGCACTTGGCCAATCAGTCGAGCGACAGCGGCATCTATGGCACTGCCAACATATCGAATTCAGCTGCGGCCACCATCAAGGATCAGGTGAATAGTTTCCTAAGCAAGGCCAGCGCCGGCAACGCCAATGCCAATGCCAGCCACAGCCACAGCCACAGCCATAGCAACAGCAGCAGCTGCAGCAGCTGCCAAGATGAGCCGCTGCCCATGCAGCAGCTGGAGACATGCAACGATATCGAGGCAGCAATTATTGCAGCTGCCCGCGCCGCTGCCGCAGAGGCCTCGTCGCGCAGCGGCAGCTGCAGTCGCAGCAATTCACGCGAGCAGCCGGCGACAGTTGCTAATGCCAAGCCACGACCAGCTCTCTATAGCTCCTACGGCCTGGGCAGTGGAGTGCATACAGCAGCAGCTGCTGCCGCTGACAATGCTGTTGCTGCTGATAATCTAGATGACGAGGACGAGGAGCCGCCGCTGCACGAGCTCAGCTTTATGTCTGATCTCAAAACGGAGTTTGGGGCGACAGCCACACCAATCCCAACAGCATCATCATCATCAGCAACCATGTCTGCAACATCGTCACGTCAAAGTCAAATGTCCAACACGGAGCTCATCGTGGACTACATCAGCAGCTGTAAGTCGAGCGAAGAAATAAATATTTATATAAATGCAAGCTTAATCAGTGCATAGAACAAAGTCGTCTGCTGATAGAGTCAATCTACTTTATAGAGAGATTCCTGCTGAATAGGACAGGCCGTAAAAGAAATTGTTAAATGAGATTAGTTATATTTATGATGATACATAGTATGATATTAGTTATATATTGTGCTCGTTGGATCAGATCAGCCATAGATTGTCTAAGTTAGGATTGGCTAGGAAGTTATAGATATAGATATAGATATAGATATAGATATAGATATAGATATAGATATA